AGGCAGTTGGCTTTTGTTGCGCTGACAGTTCTGCACATAGGAGCTTTTGTCTTTTCCCCTAGTTCCTTCAGAACACAGATCCCCATTCTCCCGCCTGGTCATCAGGCACTGTAACCAGCCCCATGAGCAGCTTGGTGGCGGGGCCTTTGTTCGAGAGAACAATGCTGCCTTCCCTCCTGCAAATATCAGGCCAGGGTAACCTCTTCCTCCCACTGAGCAGATCCTACTGAATGCGTAGGGATGGGGCAGAAAGGGAGGGGAGCTCTAAGGCACAGGAAATGATGATGGCAATGATGGCAGAGGCTCTGAATATCCGAGGAAGCTGCCTGTTGACCGAAGTCAACCACCTGGATGGAAAATGCTGGCCTAGGAGGAAAAAGAAATCCTTTCTCTAACATGTCAGTCCTTGATTCTGTAGTCTGGGTGCCTGAGAGCCAACTTGCCCAATTCCCTGGGTCATCATGGCCTCACTACTCCCTACATGCTCAGAGCCATGCATTTTCTTCCCCAGAATTCAGGACATGCATGCCCATCTCCACCACCTGGGGATCTGGCTACAGGCCTGTGCTATGATCTGAGCACCTGGCATGAAGCCTCCTTTCCTCTGAAACTGGTAAGGGATCCCCACTCTGCTATAAAGGCTTGACCTCTTTTGAGAGGCCCTGTCATGCTGTTGTCTGTCTATAGCCTTATTAATTCTTCTAATAATTCTCCTGTATACAACATTAATAATTACTCTAAAAATCTCTTTCCTGTAGTATTACTAACAAGGCTAATAAATCTCTTACTCAAAATCAGAATCTACCTCAGTGTTTCCCTGTACCCCAAACCTAAGACCTTTCAGTGTCTTTCCACAATGTCAAGTTTTCATTGGCAGCAATTGCCAGATACTCTTGCTTTCCTTGATCGCCTTGACTGAGGCAAACACAGGTTCTTTAATTTCAGTCTTAATTACTAATATTAACTGTCTGATCACATATTCCATACCACATCATACAGATTCACATATATATATACATACACATTTATATAGATATAATTATATCATGTACCATATAGCATATATATGGCTACAAAGATTTAATATGGTTACAAAGGGTTAAAAATTTCAAAGAGGCCTAAGAAGCTAAAAGGCTAAAGCTGGAAAATGGAAAGAAATGAATCCTCTAAGGGTTAAGATAAAGAAAACAGCTGGAAATCTGCGGGTAAGCCTAGCCTCTGATGTTGTACAGTCCGAGGCAAAGGGGCAGGACCAGGTCCAGATAAACCAACAGAAAGGTGGATGGCAGGTCTAGATGAGTGAACAGGAAAATGGACAGAGAGCAATTTGAGGAGGTCATGCTGTTAAGCCAGGATCAGGAGACCCTCAGAGACCACCAGGAGATGATTCGATGCAAAAGCAAGAGAACTTTATTACAAGATCAATCGAACTTGGGACCCAAGTCTCACTGATGCAGCAGTAGAGACGTGGGACCCCGATCCCTAGGTGAACAGGGTTTTTAAAGGGAAAAACAGCAAGGAGGGGATTTCATGCCTTGGTGTTACAGGATTGGATAAAAGTCATAGGGGCCAGGTGACCCTCTAGCTGAGGCACATAATCACAACTGCCATTCTTCTAGCCTACATTTGGAACGTTGGGGAGAATTTTCCCAATCAATTCTCATTGATTGTTGCCAGGAAAATTGTCTCTGTATTTCCTGGATGCCGTTGCTAGGAAGGTTAACTTTGTTTTCTACCAAGTGCACATTTTCTGATATTTCCTGGTACCTGAGTTCAGCTCCCAGTCAAGATGGCTTCTCATTTCAAAATGGAGTCACCCAAGCTAACTTAAACTCTTCAATGCCAAAAGTTGGGGCCAAGCCAAACTAAAGACTCTGGGGTAGTGGGGAACCACCAGTATGTCAGTAATCCATACTCAAGGTGTAATGGGAAGGACTATATAAGATCTGAATTCTTGATTGTTGGGGTTTTTTGATCCCCTGGAATTGGAGTTACAGTTGATTGTGAGCCACCCAGTGTGGCTCACAATCAAATACTCAGTGTTTCACCCAGTGAAACACGGTTTTCTAAAACAGTACAAACTCAAATTGCCTGAGCTATCTTCCTAACACATTTGTAATTTTTTTTTAAGGCCAAGTTTAGTTGTCCCTTGTTGTCTGTTTTGTATTATCATCAATCACTTTAATATTTGGTTATATTTTCCTTCTGGGTGCTTAAGACCATATAAGTGTCCAAAAACTAACTTAAAAAAAAAAGTGTTAAGGAGAGCCTGGCCACAGTGGTACATGCTTTTGATCCCAGCACTCAGGGAGGCAGAGGCAGGAAGATCCCTATGAGTTCCAAACAAGCCTGGTCTACAGAGTGAGTTCCAGGACAGACAGGCTATACAGAGAAACCCTGTCTCAAAAAACAAACAAACAAATTAAGGCCAATTCCATTGGTGATCAGTACAGTCTGTGACTTCTCACTCTGTCAGCTGCTCTCATGATCTCCAACTGGCCCCTTTTCTGTCAGGGGCCCTCAGGATCTCTGCTACTTTCATTGGGGGTCTGCTTTCGTGCCTCCTACTTCAGATCTCTGGCTGCCGTACTGTCAGTGGCTAATCTTGCTCTCCAACTGTTACTTCGATGTCCTGAATGGGTCTTTTTTTTCCAGGATGCAGAATTCTTTGGCCATTCCATAGTACCCATAGATGACCACCCCTCATCCAAGACTCCTGTAACATTTGTGAGGGCTTGTCTGGGATTTGAAGACCACACACACACACACACACACACACACACACACACACACACAGAGTATCTGATGATCTCTATTGAAAGTCAGTGTAACAGACTGAAAATGGCTTAGAGATACCTTGATCAGCTGGCACCCTCGTGGAGAACCTCACAAAGTGAGAGAATCTTCCCAGCCAAGACTAATTATCATGGCCAACCCTCTTAGTCAGCTCCCTTTTATTTTATGTTGAAGACTAAGAAGAGTAAGGGCCTGGCAGTAGTGGCACATGCCTTTAATCCCAGTACTGGGGAGGCAGAGGCAGATGGATCTCTGTGAGTTCAAGGCCAGCCTGGTTTACAGAGTGATTCCAGGAAATCCAGTGCTACACAGAGAAACCCTGTCTCAAAAAAAAAAAAAAAAATAAGAAGAAGGAGGAGGAAGAAGAGGAAAGGACTCAATCTTTGGGAACCAGAGGATTTGATCTCTTATAGATAAATGACAATTTGCCCCCTATTAGGGAGAAACTGGAGCAGGGGTTTATACCTCTGCCCCAAAGCTAAGAGACGTTGCCTTTCGTCAAGGAAAGGGCACATTTCCCCTGCAGGAAAGCTTTAGCCTACCCCTCACAGGTCTGGTCAACCTCTTGATCCCCGTGATGTTTGGGTGACTTTTGCCAGGGAGCTCCTCCCACTGCCTCTCTGAACATGCAGGGCAAAGGGACAGGTGGCTCAAATGCCCTCTGCTTGTTTAGTGAGCTTGGCCCAATGCTCCTGTGATTCGTCAGCAGGACTGCTCGCTTCTGGGCAAGAGCCCACAGCAGATGTCCTTAGAAGCTCAGGTGTGGCGTTGCTGAAGATGAACAACAGGAGCGCAGGCTGCTTTCTGGGTTCATTCCATACCTTGCTGAGAGACACAACAGGTTTTCCCTATGTGAAAAAGGCATTGGACAGGCTACTTTAAAAAGCATTTTTGGCTCAAACAACTCATAACCTTTTACCAGGGTGAAAAGAGAGGTCCAAGACAGAGCTGGCACGTCTTCATTCTTAACAAGGATTTTTCTCTAAGTCCAACAAGTAATCAATCTATTGCATGCTGGCCCCCCGAAACACTAGGCTCAAAGAGGAGCCCAGGCATAACCACTGGCTATCACCAACGTCCACAGCACGCCATAGCTGCAGGAGAGGCCAGGAAGCTGGCAGGCAAACAAAGTACTCAAGAGGCCTCCTTGGAAGCCAGCCTTGGCCACACAGTGCCCTGTACACAGCACTAAAAGCCTCCAGTTCTTGGCTGCATGTCTGCCGTTTAAATCAATTCATCCCAAGAAGGAGGACTCTGGGTAAGATGCTCAATCCTCACTCAGAAAGGCAAAGAGGATGGACATCAGAAAAGGGAGAAAACAGGGAATAGGACAAGAGGCTACCACAAAGGACCTCTGAAAGACTCTACCCAGTAGGGTATCAGAGCAGATACTGAGACTTATAGCCAAACGTTGGGCAGAGTGCAGGGAATCTTATGAAAGAAGTGGGAAATAGTAAGACGTGGAGAGGACAGGAGCTCCACAAGGAGAGCAACAGAACCAAAAACTCTGGGCACAGGGGTCTTTTCTGAGACTGATACTCCAACCAAGGACCATTCACGGAGATAACCTAGAACCCCTCCACCCATGTAGCCCATAGCAGCTCAGTGTCCAAGTGGGTTCCATAGTAATGGGAAGAGGGACTGTCTCTGACATGAACTCAATGGCTGGCTCTTTGATCACCTCAGGGAGCAGCCTTTCCAGGCCACAGAGGAGAACAATGCGGCCAGTCCTGATGAGACCTGATAGACTAGGATCAAAAGGAAGGGGAGGAGGACCTCCCCTATCAATGGACTGGGGAGGGGCATGGGTGGAAAAGAAGGAAGAAGAGTGGGGTTGGGAGGGGAAGAAGGAGGGAGCTACAGGTGGGATACAAAGTGAATAAACTGTAATTAATAAAAAAAAAAACTCATTAAAAAAAAGTATCCATGTCTCACTCCTCTTCCCACCCCCAACCTTTGCCTTTGGAGTCCTGTCAATATTAATGGGATAATATTCAAAAGGCACAGAGAAGCTGACTCCACACTTCCTGCCCAACAGGCCCCGGTTTGCTCTCTAGATCATGCCCAACTGTGGCTGCCCAGCAGCTCCCCAGGGCACCCAGTCAATGGGGCCCTGTCTGCAGGCCTGCCCGTCCAGCTCCTCCCTACCCTCGGCCCCCATTGGCAGCCTTAGCCTGCAGTGGTAGACTGTGCCAAGGCCACACCCCGTCTTCTCTGGAGGAGGAATAAGAAGCTGCTCTGTCTACACTCCTGCCACTTGGACACGGAAGCCAGAGAGGACAGCAGCAGCAAAAGGTGACCAGGAGGTGAGAAAGAGCCACTGGGAGAGGACTCAAGAAAAAAAAAAAAACTGTGTTTTCATTCTTCAGAGGGTGAGGGGTAAAAGGGGGCTTGGGTGGAAATTGAGCTTTAAATTTTTTTTTTAAGTTTTTGGTTTTTTGGTGGTTTTTTTCTTTTGTTTGTTTGTTTGTTTTTTGAAATGCCCTTTGGAGACATTTGGCAGCATTTCAAACCTGCCGATGACATTCTGTGATTTGAGGCTGGCTTTACGGTGCTCTTCACACTGACCGTGCTGCCATAGCTGTGCTGTCTCTGGTTTCTGTTCTCATTAAGCCGGGGAAGCCGGGGGCCGTTTTTAAAGATTCAGAATGACTACTGAGGTTCTCGGAGATGGCACACAGTGCCTCTTCTCTGACTCCTAGGGGAAGGGTTTTCTTTCCTCGTGCAGGGTTACCCCAAATCCTCAACTAGGGCTCTCCCTTCCCCATGGCAGCTTTTCCCGGGGCCCTGCAGCGCCCCTGGGAGATTTTCTAGCTTACCTACTTGAAATGCCAAGAGCTATAGCTCCAGACACCAGTCAAAAAAAAAAAAAAAAAAAAAAAAAAATTGTAGAGTAGCTGAATCTTTTCAGGTAATTATGAATTGGAACAAATAAACGGGGGTTAGGAGAGGCTTCTGGTTTTCCAGTTATCTCTGTGAGTTAACCTCTTACCTTAGTTTCAAGAAGCTCAAGTCCTGCACTTTCTTTATAAACGACTAACACCGATTGTTCACATGGGCACTTGCTTCCATTTGTCTTAGAAGCCAGATTTTTTTTTTTTTTTTTTTTTTTTTTTTTTTTTTTTTTTTTTTTTTTAGCATATGGGATATGTGTTACACCATTTATTTTTAAGTCTTAGTCCTTATCCACAAAAAGATCATTTAACCTTCCCCTCTCCCGGCCATTAGGACTTTAAGAAGTATCTGCATGATACAGAATTTCTCGAGATTTTTTTTTCTCGAGATTAAAAAAAAAAAAAATCAATAACTGTGCTGAGTATGAGCCAACACTTATGGAGTAAAGGCAAGAGAGATACTGATTTAGAAGAGATGGGGTCAGGAAGACCTCCCCTTAATCCGAGAAAGGAAGGAAGGAAACGGGCAATTGCTGCTGCCCTGCCCTCCCACTGCTCTTCACGGGGCAACAAACTTATTTTCTTTCATAAGTAAATAGTAATGGGGCTAGCAAGATGGCTCAGCCCAGTAGCCACATGAAAGCTCACACTGCCTGTAATAGATAGATCACCCTCTTCTGGCCTCTGCAGGCACCAGGCATGCACACTTTACAGAGACACACATGCAGGCACACACCCATACACATGAGACTTTTTTTTTTTTTTTTTTTTTTTTTTACTAAAAGACCAACAATAACTGAAAACTCAAGTGAAGAAACTAAAAGAGAATAGAGCGTCACATTTAGTCCGTCTGGGTTGGTCTACTTTATGAGGTACTTCGTGTGTCTTTGGAGAATATGAGCAAATCAAGGTTAACAACAACAACAACAACAACAAAAACCTTCTATTCGTCTCCTTTGAGAGATTGTTAATAAAACTTTTAAAAAGTTACTAAAATTTTATTCTAAGATGTAATATGTTCAATGTGGAAATGACTTTTCAACCTTTTGTTTTTGTTGATTTTTAATTATGTGCAGTGCAGGTTCTGACTTACAGATCAGAACTCAAGGCCGAGAGCCATCAAATGTCTCTGCCTAAGTGGCTGATTTCTGAAATGAGCCACAAGCCACCTTTGTTAATTGAGTCACTCCAAGAACGGAGCAGCCCTCCCTGCACGCTGTGGCTGCCGAATCAGGGGCTTACTGCAAAGGCTGTTTGCTTCTTATGGCATGCCCCCTCACAAAGAAGTTGCTGTATTCTGAGGCCAGGCCAATGAGGAAGCCCAGAACGCCTGGCTGTGCCTCTGCCTCTGCCTCTGCCTCCCTGTGTCGGGACACCAGTAGAATCAGATGCCCCTCGGAGTACATATTTTTGGAAGGTTGTTTCACTTTATTTTTCAAAAAGTTGGTGCAGTGTTACTTTTCTTTTTCCAGACAAATTTTATAGGTTTTGTTTGTTTTGTTTGTTTATTTGTTTGTTTTTCGTTTGTTACCCATCCAAAAACCATCCTGTTTGTATTTTTATTTAAACTTATGTGTTAATTCAAATGAAACTAAACTCTTTGTCTTGAGTAGGGTTACTATTGCTGTGATGAAACACCATGACCAAAAAGCAAGCTGGGGAGGAAAGGGTTTACCCAGCTTATGATTCCACGTCACAGTTCATTATCATAGGAAGCCAGGACAGGAACTCAAGCAGGGCAGGAGCCTGAGGGCAGGAGCTTATGCAGAGGCCATGGAGGGGTGCTGCTTACTGGCTTGCTCAGCCTGCTTTCTAATAGAACCCAGGACCCAGGAATGGCCCCACCCACTGTGGGCTGGGCTCTCCGGCATCAATCACTGCTTAAGAAAACGCCTTACAGATGGATCTTCTGGAGACATTTTCTCAATTGAGGGTCCCTCCTCTTAGATAGGACTGTAGCTTGGGTCAAACTGACATAAAACTAGCCAAGACACTCCTGCTCTTGTTCCACAGAATCTTTCGGAAGCGCCTGCATTTTTCTTCCTAACCCCTGATATTATTGCTATATGAGGATACTGTTTACCATGTTTTTTAAATTGTTCATTGATAGAGCTTTTTAATATTTACTTGCTACTAAGTCATCTTGGTGTCCTTAAATCCACCAGCTGATTCTGTAGCCTGGAGACCTCCAGGGTTGGGGACAGCCAGCAGGGAAACCTGGAATTGTCGTCTGAGGCTTTGCATCAGCATCTTTGCTAGTTTCTCGTTGACCAAACCCAACCAGAAGCCAACGGTCTTGGAAACTTAACCCTGTGGCTTCATGGGAACACAGAAGGGAGGTGGTGGGCCTGGAAGGTAGAGGATGAAATATGGTCAGTGCAGATTCGGGGGGTGCCTCTCCTGGCCAGGCCTCTCTACCCCTCATCCAGGCTGAGGTCTGAAAGCAGCGTATTAAACTCCCCAAAGACCAGGGGAGAAAACATGAAAAGGTGTCTTTTTCCTGCAGCCTCCGGAATGTCCGAGCTGGAGAAGACCATGGTTGTCCTCATTAGCGTCTTCCATCAGTATTCAGGAAGAGAGGGTGACAAGCACAAGCTGAAGAAGTCAGAGCTCAAGGAGCTTATCAACAATGAGCTCTCCCACTTCCTGGAGGTAGGCCCGAGGCGCCCCTGAATAGACGACGTTGACAAGGCATAAATTCACTTGTGAGTCCACTCAGGACGCTGTAGAAGGGCTCCTGGCAAGCTCTGCTCTGTTCTTCTCTGGGTACTTAAGATTCTGGTGGTGGAAGCACTCCCTTCCCTACCCGCTGCCTCCTCTGCTTCCTAGTGTTTCTACTGCCCGGAAACAAGTGCTGCCCTGGCAGTGAACCGTAATCCGTCTGCCACCCAGTGCTCCCTTGGTCCCCTAAGCCAAAGCTGGCTCGCTTGTGGCACACCTTCAATGAGAGGGAAATACTGTACTGATGGTATACAATGTGTCCTGTCACAGGGGGCATCCTGGGTGGTGGGAGTAGCAAAGCATACAGAGGAAAACCAATCAGTTCAGGTGCCAAGGTTGGGTATCGCTCTAGGGCACAGCTCCGTCACACGGTAACAGGAAGCTGCAATCCACGTTAACTGGGTATATGTTGATTCTTATGGACTGGATGTCTTGCTGAGGTTTTCCTTTCTCCAGTCTGGCCAAATTACTTCTTTGCTGGGTACAGACGAAGCAGGCCTGTGGGATTACCGGAGAAATCTCCAAATCTGCTTTGGGAATTAATTTCTCAGACATTCAGATACACAGGCGACAGCTGCTTCATGGTCCCACCTACCCATTCTACCTTTTGACTTAACAGAAGAGTCCTAATCTCTTCATCTTTAAAGAGGGAGTACACAGGGATAAGATGAATGTGCCAAGCTCTTAACATACAGTGAAAGTGCAATATCATAATTTTAGAACAGAAAAATTTAGCATGTAATGTAACATTTATTAATGATAACTCATATAAGATATCAAGGTATCATACATGTTTGCTGGCCTGTTTTAACGAAAGCACCAGAGAAAATCAACTTGAAGGAGTGAAAATTTATTTTGTTTATTTAGGTTTTTTTGAGACAGGATTTCTCTGTATTGCCCTGGCTGTACTAAAACTCACTCTGTAGACCAGGATTTAGTTTGTCTCTCAAGACAGAGTTTCTCTATGTAGCTCTGGCTGTCCTGGAATTCACTCTGTAGACCAGGCTGGCCTCCAACTCAGAGATCCACCTGCCTCTGTCTCTCAAGTTCTGGGATTAAAGGCATGTGCCACCCTGGTCCAGCAGGAAAGGTTTATTTTGGTTCAAGGTTTCAGTCTACAGTTCTCAGGCTCCTCTGGGCCTTTGATGAGGCTGACCATCATGGTGAGGAGCAAAGCTGCTCTCCTGAGTGTGGGAAACAAAGAAAGGAAAGACACGGCCCAGTGGCCTAGCTTCCTCCCCCCATGCCTACCTCCCAAAGGTTCTACCATCTCCCTGTGATGCCACAGGATGACACTGGGCCTTCTACACAGGAGCCTTTGGAGGCCATGTAGGTTCAGAACCATAGCACCTGTGGTGTGGCTCAAAGAACCACGCTATTCCCATTTATCTTTTGGGAGATGTTTTAAAGCCCTCATGAGAATCACCATCTTTTACAATGAAATCTTTTATATTTAGGGAAGCCCTTGGCTTCTCCACAGGGCTGTCCTGCCTGGAGAGGTGAGGGATGGTGTGAGAGAGCAAAGAATTAAAAATCAGTGGCTATTGTTTTAAAGTTTAAAGCACAAGCCTGAACTAAGACTAGCTAGGTGGAGACACGTTCAGCCACCTGCGGGGAAGAACTAGCCTTACTGCATTCTTTCCTGCCCACTAGAGATAGAGTTGCTAGGAAACCGGCCCCTCTCCCCTAGGGCAGCCAAACAAGGGAAGCTAGCCAATTAATGGATTGGGGGCCTTCCTATAGCCAATCAATTCAAAATGCAACATCCCCTTTTGTCTTTTGATCAATAGTTGCTTGCCAGGCGGGAATCCCCCTGCTTTGGGCATGCTGGGAGGGACCGGACTCTTTAAAAATCACCCAACTAACCTGAGCACGAGACTCTCACCGCTTTGCGGTGCAGGTGTGTGAGCCCGAGCTGTAACTTGTAATAAAAAGATCCTCATGTGTTTTGCAATGCACTTGACTCCTGGTGGCGGTCTTTTGGGGTCTTGCGAATCGGGCACAACAGGTGTTAACTGCAACAGTCTGTACCGAGGATCTTCAGTGCTCCAGCCTGCATTCTTCCCACTGTTTTCAGGCCTGCACTGTTAGTGCATCAGTTAGTGGCCTTTCCATTCACCTGCTTTGTGCACCGAGCAGTAATGGCCTTACCACTCACTCACTGGGCTTCAGCATCAGAACTGTCAGGGAAAAGCCGAAGGAAGCTACTAGGAAGCTACTCATGAAGAAAAAGAATACGACGAAAAGCAGCTCTGACAAGTCCCCAGTGTTATTATTGTTTAGTTTTGTTTGTTTTTCGGGACAGGGTTTCTCCCCTTGGATGTCCTGAACTCCATTTGAAGACCAGGCTGGCCTCGAACTCACAGCAATCAGCCTGCCTCTGTCTCCCTGCTGGGATTAAAGGCATGCACCACCCCCGAGTGTTATTTTAGTGACTGTTAAAATCCACGTGGCCCTCAAGCACATGTTCACTCAGGAGCGCCCGGCTTACTTCTTTTCAGTCACTCAGGAGCGCCCGGCTTACTTCTTTCCAGGCCTAGGCTGAGACAGACTGCATGCATGTTCCACGCGCACTTTTCTTCCTGATTGTTGCCCATTTTGAAGTTATCGGGGTCCCGCCAGACAAAGGGAAGAGGAGAACAGACCCCTCCCCTCTTCCTGTGGTTGACAGTCCCTTCGGGCTGCCAAAAGTTTCCATTTCCTATCTTGGAATTGTTTCTGATGCAAACTATCAGCCTAGTACTTCTAAGACCATTTTGATGGCCCTGTATTCCATCTAAAAAGAGTTTAACACCTCTTCCTTTTCTCTCTCTCTCTCTCTCTCTCTCTCTCTCTCTCTCTCTTAGGAAATCAAAGAGCAGGAAGTTGTGGACAAAGTCATGGAAACACTGGATGAAGATGGAGATGGAGAATGCGACTTCCAGGAATTCATGGCCTTTGTCTCCATGATCACTACAGCCTGCCATGAGTTCTTTGAACATGAGTGAGGGGGGGGTGTGTGGAAAAGAGAGCTAAGCTGTTCCTGCAGCAGACAGAAAGGTCAAAGAGGAAGCAGAGCAAAGGCTTTCGGGCTCCAAAGAGCTGAGCTCTCTAGACACACAGAACTAATTAGGAAGCTTGATTTGCTTTGGGCATGAAAAACTGAAGCCTGCTTTAAACTAGCACATCCTTATTTCTGCCATGTCAGGTATTCCTGTGAGCTGGCTGTTGGCTAGAATCCCTTAGGGGACAAAAATCAATGCTCTGCAGTAAAGCACGAGTGGCTTGTGTCGCGGCACAAGTATCTCATGGAAGTTTCAGAGCAGACCCCTAACAGCAGTCCCAATGCTTTCCAGCACCCCTGCATGTCCACAGCTGAGTCCCCGTCTCCTGAAGATGCTGCTCTTCCCTCCATCTGCTCACCGGTGATACAAACTGCAAATGATGCCCACGAAAGCAGTCTGAGCACGTGCACCCTCCCCCAGCCCAAATGAGCAATGCCACACTTCAGCCCCTTCTTCTACAGTGAGCAGAGATTATCAAGTAAATATTCAATGCCAACAGTTCTAACTGGAAAAAAAAATAGGTCTCACAAATTAAGTATTAACATTCTGACCCAAGATTGAGAATCAAAATTCTGTTCAGTAGACTTCTGCTTTTAGGATGCCACTGCTGTCCCCGCAGGACAAGTACCTAGGAGGAGAATGGCAGAGCTTAAGGTCTTTTTCTTGCTAGTTGTATCTCCCTGGCTCCCTCTGCTCTGTATAAAGGCTGACGTTTGTGGGCTGTGTTGCTGGGGAATGAAAGGTCCCTGAGGTGTGTCCTTTAGTGTTGGATGTCACGTCTCACCTTGCCGGTGCCTAGGGCCTGCTTACCACTCGGTGAGGCTGAGAGTCAAGGACTGTGAGGAAGCTGAGCTTGATGCTTTTTAGCCTGCATGTTCAAATGCTGAAGGTTCAAATAATTCAAGTTGCAAATAAATGAGAAACACATCTCAAATATTAACAAGCCATTCTAAGAAAATTCTAATTACTCTTGCGCATCCCTTGTTGGTACTTTTTTTAAGAGAAGAGATTTAGAAATTCACTAAGTCAACCAAACAATGCCCCTGCACTGTAAAAATTCTCTGTCCTCACTGAACAAGACATAAAAAAGTTCATAAAAAAGACCAGGACAAGGGCTTAAAGTCCCTGGAGTGGGACTGCCTTCATCTCACCCCATCCTCAGGAACAGCCCAAGGTGAGGTGAGAGGCAGCTAGGGCTGGAGGAGGCCCTAGATGTTGGAAGGCTGCACAGAACCAGAGTCTCCCTGACCAGAGGGTATGAGGTGGCTCCCACAGGCAATTTTCCAGCCTGGCTGGCTCACATTTAGCTTTCTTGCCACTTGACAGAATGCCTGGCATAACTAAAAACGGAATAGAGATTTATTTAGCGGATGCTCTCAGAGGTTTCATCGTGAAGAGAAGGGCATGGCGGAGGAGCTCACCTGTGGCAGACAGGGAGTGGGAAGGACAGTAGGTATGCCTTCCAAGGGCTGCCCCAGCGACCTGTTTCTTCTAGTTAGCCTCTCCTGCTGGAGACCAGCTGGTCAGACACATGAACACATGGAAAACACTGAGTGGGTGCAGGAGGGCACTGGGGTCCAGAGGCAGAGAACTGGCAATGAGCTGGACTAGACTGAGTGCCTCTTACACTCAGTAGGTACTTTGGGACACCTGAACTACCATGACAGAAGCCCAGGAGCTATCTACAGGGGCTCCTGAGGTCCTATTGTCCCAGCCAAACGCTACAGTCCTCACCTGACCCTGCCCACATGGTCGGTGGCTCTGCTTAGCCAAGCCTCCTGAATCCCTCTACAAAGGCAGATGTGGTGATTGACCACTTCCTCTTCAAGAGCCTCCTTGGAGACTACCGCCCGCATGACTAGAGTTGGACACGAAACTCATGTCAACGCAAGCTCCGATGTTATTTATCAGCCACTCATAAATGATGCTCTACTTGCTGTGGGTGGGCAGGGTGCTGCCCTCTGACGAGCAGTGGTTGACACTCACAGAAGCACCTGAGCCAACGCTGCTGAGAAGTTGCACTCTAAGGCCTGGCCCTGGGGAGATGCTCTAAGATGGACAGATCTCTGCAGGGGTTCTGAGATCCTCTCCAAACAGCCTGAGGCAAAGCAGAGCAGGGCTACAGCTCAGGGAGGAAACTCTAGTCTTTGACCAAGGAAGCCAAGAACAGCAAAACATGAGAACTGAGCCTAATCCCCAGGATAGTGACAGTGTCGGGGGGTAACCAGTACTGCTAAGTGGCTGGGACTGTGACCTCTCCCCTGTGGCCCTTCTGGGGGTAATGGGTACCCAGGCACCCATCACAAACTCTGACCTACCCATGCTACCAGCAGAACTGAGGCCGGGCGGACATGGCGCTGTGGAAATCAGAGTGGGCACCAGGGAGGTGAGTCGCTACGCAAGGGGTGCTGGTCCAGCAGACCAGGGCGTGCTGCATGCCGTCGTGTGCAGCACACGATGTCGGCATTAAGACATGTAAAGAAGGTATGTGACAGGTTCAAAAGTCTGTAATTTATTAGGTACAAAAGCAGATTATAAAATAAGTATATGGTCCTAATTTTGTAAAAAAAAAAAAAAGTTTTAAATGTTAGAAATCCCTGAGATTTATGGCAGAACTGAGACTGCTGTGGTTGGTAAGTAGGACTGTAGAAGACTTTAAATTTCCTTTCTTACACTGTAATGTGTTTTCTAGATTTTATACGATAAGTATAATTGTTTTAATATTTCTGAAAGAAATAATGCATAATAAAATACATCCTATTTGGGGAAACTTTTAAAACCCTTTCACATATTTCAAAATGCAAAATTACAAAGTCAATAGCTTTTATTAACATGATATAAAAAATTAGTGTGATATACAGAATTCCCAGAGAGTAATTTTAAAACATTTTAATACAATTCTTAAAATCTTAACTTACCAGATACGTTCTTACTGTCACTGAGTTTTTAATACAAAAAAGTTTACAAGCGCTGTCTGCTATAAAACTACAACATTGAGATGGTGGCTAGGTAGTTCTGTTTCCTTCTCCGTCATCTACTGTGGACTTTCACCAGTCTGTTGCTAAACCTGATGCCAAGTAATAAGTTACATGGATTCTGTACATAACTATAACAGAATTATTAGAATTCCAGTATGCTTCAACATACTACACCACAGATTGATACCATGAGCAAAAAGCGCTGCTGCACACAGTGCTTCCCGAGAGTGAGATGTGAGGGTAGACCAGTTAGCCGGACTCACTGAAGCAAGATCCAGGCAACTCTAGAAAGTCTAACTGTTTCTGTGAAGCAGATACGTTCATAAACTTCTCCACCCTTCAAAGTCCCTAAACCCCAACAACATTAATCTTTGATTAGTTATATAAAAATAATCTTAGATTCATGCTTGACTTCAAATTCTTAGAAGTATCTAAAGGATTTTACATTCTCTTTTCTGACTTAAGTACAAGATTAGATCACTTGGATTTCAAGTTTGGATAAAGTAACTAAAAATGGTTTGGCCAAATTGTATAGGCACATAACTCAAATGCAAAGCCAAGAGGCTGCAGCTAATGTCCATCCTAGACAGACAGGCTCCCATGGTGACTCAACTGTGTCAGAGGCCCAGCCAGCACATGGGTAAAAAGAGCTTAGGTTGCCACTCATGCTTCTGGATATGTTCATAAAAATAAGTCAGTGTACTTCATGAGAAGAGTGAATATTGTGATGTCATGAGAACTTGCAGTTTAAATGTCACTACATTACAGGCCAGGAAAGCGATTTTAAATTAAATGCTGGTTTCTCTTTCTGAAACAGGATCTAACTAAACAGTCTAAAATGGCACTTGCTGAGCATTAGTGACAACACACACAGACAACCAGGCACACCCGCTTCAATAATCAGACTGGAAAAAGGAAGCTGTGTGGTTCCGTGGAGTCCGGTCTGTGAGCGTGCAGAATGGGGCTGCTCTTTTCGTCAGCCTTCCGAGGCAGGCTTGGCTCAAAAGTTCTCTCCGACATAGACTTTACACATATGCTTGTTATTACACATGGGAATAAATAATCAGGAAATTATATATTTAGAAATCAGGAGTATATTTAGCTAAAAAAAAGTGCAAGCTCGCAGCATAGCGGAGAACAGCCATGGTGTCGACAATGTCCGCAGTGTGACACCGGGCCTTCCCTCCCCTTCCCGGTCACCCGTGTTTTAGTAAATGTACTTGGCAGATCCAAAACACTTCCTTAGTTGATTCAGAAAACGCTCCAACGTGACAGTCAGGATACTGTTGAGAGGATCTGACAAGCACACGCAGGGGTGACTGGATAGAGCCCAAAGCCCTTCTCCCAGGGCAGACAGTGTAGCTCCTCTTCCCAGCGCTGTCCAGCTGGGCTCACATGTTGTAGGCCACGTAGATGGGGTCCAGCTGGTCAGCCAGGAAGCCGTCTCGCAGGTGCATGCGCTGCTTCTCACCCCGAGAGTTGATGGGGATCACTCCAGGATCCACGATGACCACCACCCCCACCACAAGGTAGTGCTCCTCCAGCACGACATTGGTCACCAGGGCCACCAGGTCCAGGGCATCCTGCTCCAGACCGTCCAGTTCCACCACCACCACCAGCAGGTTGGTCCAGGTGAACACGGCACTGCAGGAGAATAGACAGTCACAGAGACCCACAGCTCGGGAGCAAGCAGATGCTGGGGCAGCACGGCAAAGGCCGCTGCTTACATTCACTAGCACAGTGCTGCTATCTAACGCCATTTGTAATTTTAAGGCTGGCCTGACTGTATCTTACAGGAATGGCTTACTCTAGCGTTCTTGATGAGAATCGAGAACTCTCAGCATTCGATACTACAAGCTGTGCTTGTCCCGGGGCAAGATCCCCACAGCGTGAAGAGATTATGGCTCACCACTGTTTAAGTGAGAAAATCACATTTAAGCTAGAAATACTTCAGAATGAGAACAGTGGCCGTCTCACGTTCTCCCTCTATGCCAAAGACAGCTGTGTAACTTAAACATGATCAGAAAAAGGAAGTCAGAAATGTATCTGGAAGAGCAGGTACAACATGCAGTCAGGTCCTCCTGGGAGAAAGGTGAGGGCCATCCAGCTCATCAGGGACTCTGCGTGTGTGGGGACCGTGCTCTCAGGAGAATGGTACCTGGGACTGCCCTTGTATGCGGCGCTCGTGCCCAAGGAGAGGCTGGATGGACAGCACAGGAAAGCCCTCTGTCGGCTCTTACCATTCAGCGATGCTCCTGTGTGCACGGATCACAGAGGTTTCTATATCGATGGGGTGGTACCGCATGCCTCTGAGCTCCAGTGTTTCGTCCAGAGACCCGACAACATACAGCGCATCATGTCGCTCTGTGAACATGGGCATGTGCATGCTCAGGAAGCAAGTTACACAGGAGTCTGCCCACCCTCTGTGCAGGAACTCCACCAGGTACCATGCGGAGGCCATGACAGCAACATTGCTTGTACTTGTGCGCCAAGCGGGCTTTAAGAGATGCCACAACTCAGTTACACAATGTGTGCTGACAGGGTTTTAAGTCTTTGGCTATAGAACGGTATAGCAGCCATGTACTGCAGAAGTTGTGACTTGAGCTGTTAGGCCTTCAGGGACCAGACCTCTGGGTAATGACCACAGCTTGGCCTTCTTAGGGTGAAATGGGTACCACATGTGACTGAAGAACCATGCAGAGCACATTATGCTCATTTAAAAAAACAAACAGTTTCTGGGACAGCTATGTCACTGGGAGGACCTAACAGCTTATGACCAATCGCTGCCACTACCCTCACCATATCCTCTGCAGAGGTTAAGAGTCTAAGAAAGTGGGGGGCAGCAATGGGAGAAGGAAGAGCAACACAGAGAGAAAAGTGTTATTGGAGGCTGTTCTTCACCCCACAGTGAACAACATGAACCATGACATGGGGTTGTGGGGAGTAGGTATGAGGTAACTGAGGGCTTC